CCACTCCTCGCATGAAGGCCATCGACCACTCCCTCGCCCACTTCGCACCTTTTCGCACGATCTCCGCCCACCCGTTTTCCGCCGAAGCGGCGAACTGCCCGGCCACCAGCTCGCCGTGGGGATGATCTGCGGGCGCGGTGAGACGTATCGTGAGACAACCAACGCATCTGACGACCGTGGATGGCAGATGATGGCAGCCACTAGTTAACTATGCTTCGTGTTGTGAACGTGGTGCCCAGTGGCGACCGTTGTGCCCAGTGTTGCAACACTATAGTTATCTATAGTTACTATATGCAAGTATAGTTGCCTAATGTTGCCTATGTATATATCTATGCCATGTGGTTCGACAAAGGTACACCGTAGACCAACGGTGTGGGGCCACTCTGAGTCGGGGGTCCGGCACAGCCCAGCATTCGGACCTGGTACCGCCACATCGGGATCCAATTGAGAGGTCACCGAACTGAAGAATAGCACGCTCCTTTTTGGAAGGACCACCAATGCCAAGGGGGGATGCTGCAGGGCTGGCAGGTCAGCTGGCAAGTTGGTGACCCTTTCCGGAGCAACTTGTGGCCCATTCCGAGCGGTTTTTTGGAACAAGCACCTGCAATCGCTGTTCACGATGGAAGAAGAAGGACAGAATTGGAAGGAAGGCCTTGTGACAACAGTCCTATAGGACTTGATTCATGAACCTTCAAAAGAGTTGAATCGACTCCTGCCGCCCCTGGCAGCGTCCTCACAGTCCTGGCACCGGTCGCCTACTGCAAAGAGGTTCAGGAAGTCACTGCTGGTGTCAGCGAAGCCCCAGAAGCTATTCCTGAACTGCTGGGTGGCGAATGGTGCCAAGTGCCAGGTGATGGATGAGTTCAAGCTCCTGCACCCTGAAGCACACGTAACCTAATTATATAGTGTAACATATATGACATATATCATACTATAGTATGATGTAACTTAATTAACAGCAATAAGTGATGAACTATAATCACACAATACCACAAGGCTGGGGAGTACAAGGTTCAAAAAGGTCATGAGTTCAGATGGAGCCTGGTTGTTGATCCAGTTTCCGCTTGGTGTAGCTTTGTGTCTTTTGACGACTGGTGACCTCTGAAGAGTGATGGGTAGTGAACGTCATCAAGTCAATGTTTATGTCAGTAGTCACCCATGGTCCTTGCAGAACTTATTCCAATATGCTTGTTATGGATATATATCTACCACGCACGGTTTCCAGGTTTCCAGGTGTCCCGGTTTCGGACCGGGTGATTCTCCTTGCTGAATGCGTCCAAGCGTCCAAGTCTGCCTCGGCGCCGTCAGGATCCGCAGCGGTGCCTGGAATTCGAAGGGCGTGCCGATGAATGGACTGGTGAAGTCCCAGGATTTCCCGGGTGGATCGGACATTGAAATTACTTGATATAGAATGTAACAAAAACACCTGGTGTTTTACACACCTGGTGTTTTACAAGTAGATCCAAGATATGTACATGTTCTCACCATGACGCGTGCTAACAAAGCGACAGGTGCATACAAACGAAC